TGATAGATGCTCGGAAACTCATTCCATCTGGATCTGAACATAATGAAGAGCGGAGTCAGCTTAAGCACAAGCTGAAAAGAAGCCTACGCACTGATCGCGAACAGTGGTGGGTAGCGAAATCAAGAGGGATGGAAAAGGCAGCGGCAATAGGTAATAGCAGACAATTGTTCAGACTCGTTAAGGAAACCGGAATTAGGAACCCGACCGTTAGCGAAACAATCTCAGAGAAAGATGGACATATTATACATTCTCAATCCAGGAGATTGGATCGATGGGCAGAACACTTTAGGGATCAGTTCAACTGGCCTTCAGCCACACTTCGGTTTCCCGCGATCTCCAGTCAACCTGAATGGCAAGTTAGTGTAGGTCCTCCGTCCCTTTACGAAGTTGAAAAAGCCATAGGAAATCTGAAACGAGGGAGAGCAGCAGGCCCTGACAGGTTTACTCCTGAGGTTTTTAAGGATGGTGGTTCAGTATTAGCAATGAGATTAACTGAGGTCTCAGGTAGAATTTGGGAACTGGACGTAATCCCATCTGACTGGTCTCAATCACTGATTGTGCCAGTCTATAAGAAAGGACAAAAGTCCTCTTGTGACAATCACAGAGGAATCAGTTTGACTAATATAGTCTAAAATATTAGCCTCAATAATACTTTGACGCCTAATCAAAGCTCGTGAAGAGCAGACTAGAGAAAACCAGGCCGGTTTTCGACCTGGACATGGTTGTATAGATCAGATATTCACACTACGTCAGGTTCTAGAACACAGACACACATTCAGACGCCCCACAATGGTAGTATTTCTCGACCTTAAGGCGGCATTCGACTCTGTTGATCGTGAGGTTCTATGGCAGTGTTTTTCACTGAAAGGAGTACCAAAGAAGTACATTAACCTTATAAAGGCTCTCTACTCGAACACAACTGGTAGAGTGAGAGCTTATGGCGAACTGTCATCAGAATTGATTACCTCAAGTGGTGTTCGTCAGGGCTGTCCACTCTCCCCATTCTTGTTCAACCTCGTCGTCGACGTACTTTTAGAGATAACACTCTCCTCATCTAAATTTCCAGGGGTTGAACTTCTACCGGGAGGTTCACTTGTTGACTTAGAATATGCTGATGACATAGTTTTATTTGCTGAAGACGTTGACAAAATGCAGTCTTCTGACCACTCTAAGCAACAATGCAAGCATGTTTGGGATGCGATTCTCTCCCTCGAAATGCAAAATGTTGCTTCAGGATTGGGTTACATCGACACCCGAACTAGTGATAGGGAGTGAAGTAGTTGAGTGTGTCGACCGCTTCACTTATTTTGGAAGTCTCATCAGCCCTTGTGGTTTAGTGTGTGACGAAATCTCAGCACGGATACAGAAGGCTCGACTAGCTTTTGCCAACTTGCGTCATTTATGGCGTAGGCGAGATATCCGTCTATCAACCAAAGGACGTGTTTACTGCACAGCAGTTCGTCCCGTCCTACTTTATGGCAGTGAAACATGGCCGGTAAGAGTAGAGGATATTCATAGGTTACTAGTATTCGATCATAGGTGTCTTCGAAATATTGCTCGTATATCATGGAACCATCGAGTAAGTAATGCAGTTGTTAGAAAACGGGTACCAGGTAAGGATGGCAAATCAATTGATGAAGTAGTGAAACTTCACCAGTTGAGATGGCTGGGACACGTGTTACATATGCCCAACGACCGACTGCCTCGACGTGCTATGTTCAGTGGTATAGGAGTAGGTCGGAAGAAAGCTAGGGGTGGCCAGACCAAAACATGGCACAAGTCCATGAAGTCACTGACAAGTGGTCTGAGTCATGTCGGTAGGTGTAGACTACCTGGTTGGGATCCGCGTGATAATAGCAACCGATGGTTAGAGACCCTGAATGACATGGCTCAAAATCGTTTGCAATGGCGCAGGTGCATACACTCTTTGTGTTCGCACAAATTCTAATCTCCTGATTCCTCCTTGTCTCTTTTTTTCTCTTCCCAAGTTTATTTCACTGGATTATACTCTTCAAATAACATCTCCAAACCCTAATCTTCCCGATTACTGCTTATACTCTTATTACCTCTACCACTACGGGATTTGAATCCACCACTGCATATCTGTGTTAATGTGGTGTGGCAACTCGGACTGATGTACGTACGTACGAAGTTCTACGTTGTTACTGACCGACGATAAATAATTCCCTCAAGATAAGTGAAGCTGTCAGGGGACTCAACCACTTCGCTAAAATTAATTGGTTGACGTTCTAACAATAGTCATTTGAATACATTACACAAGATGCTTTTAATTCCGCACTTATGTAAAACTTAGTACGCTTAAGGAATCAGGGCTTGTTAGAGCCTGAAAAATTTGTTTCGGAAAGCTAGTCAACCACAATTTGAGAACCAATTAGGAAGCCCAACAAAGACTCGTGAACTGAAAACACGAGAAAAACAGGCTGACTTCAGACCTGGTCGTGGCCGCATCGACCACATATTCACCGTTCGTCAGGCTTTAGAACACAAGTATGCTTGTTGGCGTCCGACAGTGATAGTTTTTCTTGACTTTGAAAACAGCATTTGGCTCTGTAGACCGCGAGATGCTGTGGCAGTGTCTGTCATTGAAAGGCGTACCCCAGAAGTACATAAACCTTTTGAAGGCTCTTTACTCGAACACTAATAGTCGAGTGAGAGCTTATGGAGAACTGTCATCTACTTTTGCAACCTCAAGTGGTGTCCGTCAAGGCTGTCCACTTTCTCTATTTTTGTTCAACTTCATCATAGACATACTGATGAAAATAACATTCTCGTCGACTGAGTTCTCGGGTATTGATCTCCTACCAGGAGGTCCACTTATCGACTTCGAATACGCAGATGACATAGTTCTGTTTGATGAAGACGCTGACAAAATGCAGAGTCCTCTGGTAGCACTGAGCAACAATGCCAAAATGTTTGGAATGCGCTTCTCTCCCTCGAAATGCAAGTTGTTGCTTCAGGACTGGTCTGCGTCAACACCTGAACTGAGGATAGGGATTAAAGTAGTCGAACGCGTTGACAACTTCACTTGTCTTGGAAGTCTGATCAGCCCTAATGGGTTGGTGTCTGACGAAATCTCAGCACGGATTCGAAAAGCTCGTTTGGCTTTTGCCAACTTACGTCACCTGTGGCGAAGGCGAGATATCCGTCTATCAATAAAGGGACGAGTATACTGCGCGGCAGTTCATTCTGTTCTACTTTACGGCAGCGAAACATGGCCATTAAGAGTAGAAGATACTCGTAAGCTACTAGTATTTGACCACAGAGGCCTTGGAAATATTGCTGGCGTCTGCTGGGATCACCGGGTAAGTAATAGTGAGGTTAGACGCAGGGTATTAGGGAATGATGGTAAATCAGTTGATGAGGTTGTGAATCTTCATCGACTGTGATGGTTGGCCCACATTTTACGTATGCGTGAATACCGATTACCACGACGTGCAATGCTAACCGGTGTTGGAGATGGTTGGAAGAAGGTTGGGGGAGGTCAAAGCAAAACGTGGCATCAGTGCTTGAAGTCACTAACTTCTAGTCTGATCCATGTTGGAAGATGCAGATTATTTGGTTGGGGTCTACGTTACTATCGTAACCAATGGTTGGAGACTCTTGGTGACACGGTTCAGAATCGATCCCAATGGCATCGGTGTATACACTCTTTGTCCTGCCTTAAACCGTGAGATTAAAGTCGCTTTATATTTCTTTTTACGAACTACTTCTTTCTTCCTGTACTATATCCTTATACTCAATCTTTCTTTTGTATATTACCACCATTGAAGTGACTACTTCTATAAATTTGGTGTTCATCTTGTTGTGCTAATGAGGTGTGGCAACTTGGACCGATGCATATATATGCCTGGTCTTACGTTGTAGCTATGTGACTGAAAAATATCGGAAAACTTTATATGTGACAAGAAGCCTCCATTATACTAAATTAACATTGTCATCAAAAGTAAAGTTTTTGGATTGAAAACGGTGAGAAACTTAATACTCTTAATGCTTGGTATCCAATTATTTCACTTTTACGTGATAACGATTGCTTGTAACGCAATGGAACTTTAAAAAATGATGATTGTCTGATGTTTCGGAACGGTAATTGGATACCTTCTATTTTAACTGTCTCCTAAACCAATGCGGGAAGATGTACAGAATTAGTTTAAAGTGGTTAAAAAGGAAAAGGACTTTATATAACGAGATTTCATTTCTAGTAGCAATTGACCAACGATGCTTCCAGGTAGGAACCGATGAGACAATAATTTATGGAAAACCCAATCAGATGTAAGATAACAGGTCATAGATTTTGGCGCGAAATTCATTCATCCATTTGGCCAGATAGAGTTTTGTCATTTTAGCTGAGGTCAGTTTGTGATGGAAACCCTGAATCTAATTCTCAACCATAACCACGAACTGTAAATCATTATTCTAATTCCTTACACTGCTTTATGACCCTCATTATGTCCTAGTTAGTAGGCATCCTCAAGGTCACTTCAGCGTTGCTTAAAGATCGTCCACGAATTATAATCTCACCATAGTTTTGATTTATTTGCTTTTCCTTCAGTCGATTGATTCTTACTGTACTGTCTTAAGGCAATCTCTATTGGTACGTATCCCTATATATGTGTGTCCTATCGGAAGTGAATTAAGAGGTTCAAAAATCAATGTTTGTAATGAAGACTAAAGATTTTGGTTGCGATCTGTAATAAAGTTCGGATTCGTTGCTAAAAGTGACTTATTATCCATCAAAATATTTGGTATATATATATATATATATATATATATATATATATATATATATATATATATATATAAATCAAAAACTTTCATAAAAGCAGTCTTATTTTGCTATCTTTTGTATTCCACAGTGAACATTGTTGCCTCAAGAAGTGAAATTCAGCACATCTAAATCTTAATTCGTGTACCCCTGAAAGACGTAAATTTATAATGTTTGCCATAAAAGTTTAAGATTACCATTTAGCTGACGGGTTGAAATGCACAATCCATCTTCAAACAATCGGAAACCCATACGTGTTTGGGTCGACGGATGGTAATCGTATTTTATTTATTTTGAAATAAAAGTGAAATATTTCTCTAAAGTTTCGACCTAGTTCATTTTGGACATGCCAATGCTCTTCGTCAGGCTAAATCACTCGGTGATCAACTTATCGTTGGAATTCACTCTGACAGTGAGTTTGCATACTTTTATTTGTTTTATATTTAATTCTTAACTTTACCATTAATTTATTAGAAGAAATCACTAAACATAAAGGACCACCAGTTTTCCATGAACAAGAGCGTTATCGGCTGATCAGAGCTATGAAATGGGTCGATGAAGTAAGTAAAACTTATTACTTAAGTGTTTATGAAAACTCATATTAGAGTTAGTGATAACATAGAACTGAACATAAATTTATAGGTCCAAGTTATGAAATCTTGCGTTATCACAACCAAAAATTGAAAAGGATAGGATAGAAAATAATATCAACTGTAATGGAATACTAAGCATGAGAAATATAGTTTTGAAGAAATAAATGAGGTTCAGAACTGGAAACTGTGTGATGATACTAAGAATCAGTTGTAAACTAAATAATTCTGTGCCACTGCAACCAGTTATATACTTAATCTGTCTCCACCCATAGATTATAGATATTTCTTGGGCTTTAAATAAGAAGTCTGCATCTAACAACATGGCTCAGCTCAACGGTCAGTCGTATTGATGTTGCGGAATCATACATAGTAGTGTGCATCATCTTGTAAGCCATTCTAGGTAATAAATGTGGATCTGTGGTTGTAGGTTATCAGTAAACGGTCTTTGACATTTTGCAAATTTTATATTCTCTAGATTTTAATAATGAAATCAGAAAAAGTAGCTCAATAGTTTTTGTTACCAAATGACTCATGTTTAAATTCCACGAAAATCAGAAGTTTCCCTAGGGTTGTAGTCGAACTCGTGTTGTAGTGGTGAAGGATATGAGCTCGAGAATTGTTTCCCTCACTATGGTAATCATAAATTAGGTAACAAACTTACGTACTTCGATTGGTTAAATTTGTTCATTATAAACTTTGAGAGCTTTGTCTGGATTATCATTCGGTAAATAATTTGTGTTCATAAAAAAATGTACGTATTAATATTCTCTCTACTCATCGTAAAACTGTTTTAATTATAAATACTTGGAGTTTCTATCGATGTAGATAAAAATTGAAGGAATATTGTACATTATTCATAACAGTTCAAGACTCATATACTAACCCCCGATGGCTAACAATACTATCTAGTTACATAGGACGACATATAATGTGTTTATTGTAATAATGAAGGTTGAGTGAATAAATTAGTAAGCCAGCCAACAATAAGCAGAGTAAAACATAGGATAAATGTGCACAAATTAATAAACTAGAATTCATACCTGTCCGTGACCATGTCTTCTTGAACAATACTGTTGTACTGTTTTTCTGGCGCTTGATGGTAGATTTAGCTACTCAAATCATTCATGTATGTTGGAGTGATAAACTTTCTACTGTTTTGACTTGAAAGGATAGACGGTATTTTGGAACTTTCATATAGTACCACGTTTTTAATTTAATGAGATTAAACTGATTATCATAACATGCATAGATTCATTAGGATATACTTATATTGACTACTAGTGATTTTCTGGAATTCATAAACTACCAAGTGTTTTCTCTTTGACCATATTTCATCAAAATATTTTACATGTAATGAATGTTCACTTTATGAGTTCCGTCAGTTTTAAATTAACCTTAATCACTCAAAAATTGTCTAGTTTTACACATAATAGTTCCAAGTACCTTTTGAGTACTTATTCAAATTTATTGTCTAGTTGATCTAAACGTAGCAAATTTAACTTGTTAATCAGCTGTTATTCTATCTTGTTCCCTCATAGGTAGTAGAAGATGCACCATACTTTACCTATGTAAAAACGTTAGAAAAATATTCTTGTGATTTTTGTGTACATGGAGGTATGTTGTATTAGTTTAGTGAGTTGTTTTGGATTTAAAATAAATTGACTATTAATTGACGTTCTCTCGACGAAATTTATGCTTGAAAATATGTTGTGATCTATTGAGAAAAGGATTAATGAAACCCAACGTTATGGGCGCTTTTAGTCATTAGTACCGTAATTTTTTCTATCATGAAGCCTGTTCTGAATATATTCCAGATATTTCAAGCCTGTACATTGTTTGATTGTTGTCAGTGATTCCTTCAGTGGTAAAGACCGCACAAATTATTAGTGTCTTAAAATTTACATTCTTGTTTGTTTTTCTTTTTCATTAGGGGCTTATATCATGCCTGTAACTTCAACACTTCTACTTTACCTAACTAATTCACTAGTGTTGTATCATAGGTTATGGCATTGGAATAAGACCACGCCGGATCAAAATGATCTAAATCTTCATTAATCTCTCAGTTTTGATTGGTTGACCTTCAACCAACACAAAATTCCATATATTGAAATCGAATTTATCTGTTCTGGATATTCGTAAATGTTTTTCACAGTAATAGAAAAGTGTTCATATGTAAAGAGTCACCATGTAATTCGCGTTTATCGGTTTTTTTGGTGAAAATGAACTTTCAGTCATAGGAATTTCCACAAACTTTGTAAGCAGAGTTGAATCTAAACAACCAATACAGATGGTTTTCTACCAACTGTCTGATAGAATATTCAAGTGTGTTTTAATCTATAAATTAAGAATAATCTGGAGATAGTTGAATTTGATGTCTAAACACATTGACGTTAATTTTTTTCAGTGTTCTGTTTTCTTATCCATCGTTTATTTCAACTACTGTTCCATACTGGAAAGATATTAATTTGATGGGTTGTAATTATTCAAAATTTATGTTCAAAGGTCTTGTGAATATATGTTGCGCAAAGTTTCTTAGAACTATTCATTATATCAGGCCTAAACAGGTTCAGTGGGTTTTGAAAAGTCGATCCTAAGGTTGCTAATTTGAGCAAACAAATTTACCCACTTATCATGCTCTGTTGTAAATTCCACACTTAGATAAACTGTGATCGAGAATATAATAGTGAACGGATTTTTTATATATGCTCACCCATTTTTAGCCTGTAGACTCAAATTGTATATCTGTCAACCATAACAAAGAGTCGTTCAGTATTTCTTGTTGGAAATTCCTCTGGTCAACATGACAGTTTAAGCACGAGGTTTCTTGCTTGCGCCATTACTTATAAATAAGTTTAAGAATTTAGTGGAGAAAATTTTTTTTCGACGAAATCATTTGCTTAAGCTGTATATTCGTATTTATGGTTGTTTGATAAATATTGAAGTCTATAGAAAGATAAAAGAGATTGCATCATAAAGTGATTCGAGATTTCAAATATCAATAGTAGGTTGCTTAATGGTCAGGATATTGAATAATTATGAAAAAAATTGTTAGAGGATAATAATAACTGATCACATTCTGAAAAGTACAAAATAATGATAAAAATAAAACAAAGCCAAAACGCGGGGGAAGTGAGTTATGGCCACGGAAGGATGAGAAGTTGGACGTATCGTTTTTGCAGGCAGAATTTGGGGCTGAAGTGATCGATCGCCAACGCCCCAGCAGTGGATAGGTTTTTAATTCACTGAGTTCTCTTTATTCTTAGTCAATAACACTGCGTTACTTGATTTTTAAAGAATTGTCGAATTGTGCTTTAGAGATCATATTGCATTTGAGCTATTATATTTCTGCTTAGTCTTGATTAATCCACAACATTTATGAAACCGCCTAAGGAATTTCTGGTGTATTTTGGAAATATTAAAGCTCAGTACTATCCATTATAAATTTATTTCCTGTTAACCATGAATACGTCAATGTTATTAGCTACAGGCAAAATTAATAATATTTCCCTTTTGTGTCATTCATGGTCATAATCAAATAAGTAAACAAACAAATTCCACTGTTCTAAATTCCTTTCACCATGACTAAACCTGACCTTCATGAGGCCTATTTTTACTTAACCAATAATCTATGAATATTTTCCTCGTTTTGTAAATATAAGTGTTACATATTTTTCATTGCTGTATGTTATATATTATTTTCTTAACATATTAATGTTTTATTTTCTGGTTCTGTGTTAATTGATATAATCCATTTTGAAATTATGTAGTGTATTAAAGACTAAGTTGTACCCTTAACTGTAGCGTCACCTACACAACCATTAAAGGAAAATGCTCAGATAGGACATTTGTGGGCAAGGTCAACCTTATTCAGATTTTCATTAGATATTTAAAGTTTTTCAATCACAAACATATGAGCTGGCATTAATATCAACTGGCCCATGCTGACACATTTCGAATCAGTGTGACAAAAGGAAAGGAAAAAGAATGGAAATAATAGTAGCATCACTGATATTAACGTCTAAATATAGAAGATATAATTAAAGAAATCTAATAAGGTTTGAAAATAAAAAGTACAGAATGATATAGAGGAAAACAGAAAATGAATATATCTGTATAATTAAAACTAAATTTGAACCATATTGCTTAAATCCTCCAACAACATTTTATAACTAGCTCTTAGATCATATTTATTTATTTATTTTAACACATAGATATTGGTACAAAGAGGCACCAAATACATATGCGCCACACAAATCTCATTTGATATGTGTGAGGGCTGTGATACTGCCCAGGTGCCCAAAACGAAGCAGGTCGTTTACTTAGGGGGCCACACCCGGAGCCTTCGACCTGAAGGTCTGATCCACAATGCAGTGGGGCATCGTAAAGAGATGTAGTCCCATGGTAGTCGGTGACCGACAGTTGGTTCATACACCATTTGTTCCTTTAGGATACTGGAGCCCATGTGCACCATTAGTTTGGAATGAGGGTTTTCCAACTCCCCTAGGTGGACTCTCCATGTCCACCAACCCGGTTAAAGCTCCGGACATTCGCTTTTCGTTCTCTCAATTTCGTACACAACACCCCCACCACGAGAAGGCAGTGAGTAGAACTTCATATCTAGGAGATTCACACTTCCCAATACGGCTCGGTCCACTCCCAGGGAAGTCCTACCCACTACCTGCTCACTGCAGGTGTTGTTTACTGAATTGAGAGGACAAAAAGCGAATGTCCAGCGCCTCAACCCGGTTGACAGGTACGGATCATCCATCTGGAGGAGTTGGAAGACCCTGATCCTGAACCAGTGGTGCACATGAGCTCCAGAACTCTGAGGGATCAAATGAAGTATAAACCTGTGCTTGGTCACCGGCTACCATGGGACCGTATCTCTTGACGTTGCCCCACTACTTTATGGATTAGATCTCCCGGCCAAAGCTTGGGGAGTGGCCCTCTAAGAAAACCACTTGTTTTGGTTTGAACACCTGGCCAGCATCTCAGCCCTCATACAAATTAAATGATTTCTATAACATATCTTGGTGCATCCTTGTACCAATGTTTATGTGTTCAAATGAAAAAAAGATCATAAATAAGGTGACTTCATATATTCGTTGGCAACATTTGCTGCACACACTCGATCTTGATTTCCTGTATTTTTGCAATTAAAGAAGAATTCTGATTCTCACATCCACCTTTTCTTTGTAACTGGTGTATTATGTCATGTCCTCTAATGTTTTTGGGTGGACTAAATTATAAATTTGCATACCTTCAAAGTTTATTTTTAATCTATATAATTGTAGATGATCTGGTGGTATCCAATGATGGATCAGATCCTTATGCAGAAGTTAAAGCAACTAATCGATACAAGTGAGATTTATTACTTAAAAGGCTGTACTACTCATTTTCTTAAGAAAATTCTGTAATATGTAGAGTGCAGAATCGTTTACTCGATTTTCAAACACATCTAGTAAAAGCGATGACAAAATTACCCGACTTCTCGAAGTGGAGCATATTGAACAGGATTCGAACCTCCTATCTTATCCTTAAAAGTCTAACACTCTTAGCATACGTCATAGCATTGTTCCTGTGAAAGTTCTAGACACCATCTAGATCGTCATCTATAGGGAATGAAGATGTTCGAATTTGTAGCGACCACCATTATGTGGTTGTAGAGGAAAAATCAAGCATCATATTTCTTATGCGATGCAAATATGATGTAAGTATCGATCCCTTTTAGTTGATTATACACTATTTTTAAGTTACTAATGAGAATGAATTTTACCATCATCCCTTGTATAGTTGACCATAATATTTGAATATTGTTTGCAAATAAGGAAGAAAGAAACTTCAAAGCACATGACATTTACGTTAAACTGTTGGTAGGATTCACAGGAAGTGGAGCGTTGTAATACATTTCGTTTTTGCTCATGAATAATGTTAATTCAATGCACTATAATTGTCACATCTCTAATATAACCACACTGTATTGAGTGAATTTTATTCTGTATAATTCTATTTTAACCAGCGTTTTTTCTCTCTCAGTATCATTATAAATGGTGATTTATAAACTATTTCATTTTGTTACAATTAGAGAAGTTAAACGAACTGAGGGTATATCTACTACAGCTTTAGTGTCAAGGTTAGTAATTGGCTGTCGTTATTGTTTCTGTGTACATTTGTGTAAATCATTAGTTGGATATTAAATGATGGTGCGATTTCATGTGTTCATAGAATTCGTTTATATGTCGAGGTGTTTCACATGTTTGTATTTGAAATAAATGAATGCTTTATATCATTTAACTTAGTAACAGTGTTGAAGGATATTTTTAATATTTTAAAATGGATAAATCCATATAATTTCCAAATGACTCATTTTTGAATTAGTAAATAAAGTGATAAGACGGAATTCCTGTATCGTCAACTGACATCAGATGTGTTAGTATTGAATAATACTGTTTTGCATGTGTTGTTTGTTCAGATACTAAGCTGAAATGACTTAACGTAAGAAGAAAGAAGCAGAATACTGACACTAAAAATAGACCAAAACTATGTCTGAATGCACTAGTATTTGTAGTTCACATTAATAGTTAAATTATGAATAAACACAACTGAGTAACAGTCAACACTTATTAGAAAAGAAACCACTGTATAAACGTAATTTACATACACCATAGCATTCAGAATCCTACAATCAACATGTAGAACTGGACAGCTGTTTCTTGCGTAGGTTGCGACTCGAAAATCAATGTTATTTCTCTGAAGAAGCTTGAACTAGATCACCACCATGTGAAACGTTATTTAATTCCAATAGTTTAAATCACTTTATGTTCATTATCCCTGTTTTCCTATGCAAATATCTGTGCTTATATCATCAGTTTATTTTTATCCACATATAACTGTTTATTATTATTATTATTATTATTATTATTATTATTATTATTATTATTATGCATACAGAATGTTAAAACGTATACAACAATTACAAGATCAAGGTACTTATGCATCGCAGTTTAGTTCAAGTACAGAGTGTTCAATTCGACGAACACAATCATTAGATTCTGTATTAAAAAGTAAAGATAAGTTTATGCATCCTTGTAAGGTAAATGAGTGTTTTATAAGTTTCTCTTGATTATTTTGGGATTTTAATAGTTCTGAGTATACACACTGTTTTCAATCATAGCTAAAATTACAAGATAAATTACTGTAACTCAATAATTAAGTAAAAGGTTTTAAATTAAAGGGGTACTGTTATGTATGCTACTTATGTCTGTCGACGTAAGTAGTATGTAATACCAATCAAATGTTGAGTGGCTGGCAGCAGAAGGCTAAGAAAATCGAGTTGAGGAGAGAAGAATGGAAAAAAGAAAGGAATTGTGAGCTGGAGAAACCTTACAGAGTGTGAAGGATGAATGATGGAAATTTCCAAATGAAGTATTTAGTGTATGGTTCTCATAATTTATCAAGATATTCTGTAATTTTGTATTAAGATACATTGGTTGTCCCCATCTGTGTTCTCGTTTATTACGGTACCACTCTAGTTAATGTTGGGGCTAACGATATATCAACGAAAAAAGTCATGGGAATCCTATTTTATCTCTGATATTTAAAGTAAACGACAATTATTGCCGAAGCACTGATTAACATGATAGTTGAATTATTTGTAAGATGCCCTTTGCTCGGAAATCAGAAAATTGTGATAATTCACTAAGTCAACTTTATCTTAGTTAAAGCGCTATAACAGTGATACGGATCTAATCAATGTATTATTGTGAATAATTGTTAATTACTGTTTTATTGTCGTGTGCAACTTTTTAGAACAGATCTAAACAAACTATACTGTTTCCCATTCGACCCTCTTCAGGATTTACTGTAATATACAAAAGGATCACATAACTAAACGTAGCAAGTGAAAAGTATAATTTAGTAATAAGGTGACTAACATAGTAGTAAATAATAAACAGTATGATAGGAAATAGGTCAAACCTTGTAAAAATAAACGTATTAAAATAATAATAAACTACTTAATACGAAATTTGTTTAAATAAACATCTTAAATGTATAAATAATAAAGAGATATGAACGGAATAAAGATAAACAAACAAAAAATGGTGTCATGAATCGGTAAAATTCATTATTATTATTAATATTATCATTAGAAATTTAAACTTTCCTAGTGATTAAAGAACAAAACAAAATTGTTTTTGCTGACTTTTCGCTATTTAATTCTAATAGCCATGAAATCGGTAAAATTGTTTATTAAATCTTACCCGGCCATACACTTGAAAGTGATGTTACGAATCTGTTTTTACTAAGTAGGCTAATGTTGTTGGCTCGAATTCCTATATATAGGTGGCGATGTCGAACCTTATTAACAAGACTCGATGATATACAATAAATTACTCAGAAAGCATAGCATGTGTTGAAGGAACTCGGGAAACGTTTTTGTTGTTTTGATTATGTAGCGATTTCTTCGTCATCTCGAGAATTTTCTCAATCTCTTTTATGCTTCCCGGAGACACCCTCTTACGTTGTTTATAACTCGCTGACTCATGTTTCTGAAATTTGGGGAAATTTGTAAAACCGGATTCGTCGATTTTTGACAATTAACATGAAGAGACTGTCATCAAAAAGGCTTTACGTCTCAGTTAATAACATATGTTTAGTCATCTAAGCATCAATTCGTTCACATAAGTTCCCCTAATGAAATTTATTACTTATTTAGATCGATCAGTAGGTTGTGACTTCTAGGTTCGAACACTGAATGTCATATAAATGTTTTCTTGAATTGTCGGCTACTGTTAGGTAAGGGTAAAAGTAGAAGTCCGGGTTTACGATTTCCTAATGATCATTTTTAAATAATGTAACTGGTCTACCAAACCGAAAGTTTATGCATTTAGTTTTTAACTTTTGTTGTTTGCTTTATGGTTAGTAGTACTATCAAGTTGCCTAAACTGAAGCAGATAAAGTGGGGTTCGAAGCTGCGACTCAATAGTCAGAGGTCGAGTGCTTTAACCAGCAAGATTTCGCTTGACATTCAAAATTGTATAGTACAACGAAACACTTGAAATTATCGGTACACATTTTTCCTTTAAAATCATTCTCTTCCTTGGTTTTTATTGTTTTATTTTGATTTCCAGACGAAGGAAACATTATCACCCATATATCCGGGCCTAAATTCAAATTGTTCTAAAGCTAATGATGTGACAGATTCAATTAATGTTTCAATTTGGTCTACTGGTGGTATGACGTATATGCCGAATATTTTACGTATAAGTCAATTTTGTTCTGGTCAATTTCGTGAACCTAATAGTAATGACATTGTGGTATATGTACCGGGTACATTTGACCTATTCCGTATCCTTTATATGTAATTGATATAATGGTGTAATTTAAATATTTTCTGTTTGCAACACCATGCTACTATGATACGATAATACGACTGATGATCAAGATTATCCTACCACTTACTTGGACACTCGGTCGATACGCTATACCCAGGCTAGATCACATTATTCCAGACACACTATTTGCGATCAAATATAGAAAACTAGAGTTTAGACTAGATAATATTTTATTTCTCGCAACTGCAAAACAGTTTACACTTAGAAGTCCAGAGTAGATATTGGTAATAGGAGGAAAATCACATTAAATAGTTCGCGTCTGTTAGTCGACCCTCAATGGCCAATCGCACCTTACTTTCATTACCACACAGCAATGAGCAACATAATTTTCCAAAGTATTATGTAATCGGGTCAGGTGTTTTCAGACTGTCTTCTTTCAATAGTGGCTGAATTTGCTACGAAAAAAAGTTGGCTTCTGTGAATAAATTTCTAAGTATTAGTTTCTCAATTACAGTGATAACTTACTATGTAATGAGCACAACTTAGTAGTTGATTATGAATACTACTACCACTAAGTTGTGCTCATTACATAATAAGTTATCACTGTAATTGAGAAACTAATGCTAGAAAATTTAATTACAGAAACCATATATTCACCAGGTTCTAGAACACAGGCATACTTATCGGCGTCCGACAATGGTGGTCATTCTCAACTTAAAAGCAGCATTTGACTCCGTAGACCGCGAGATGCTGTGGCAGTGTCTGTCATTGAAAGGCGTATCTCAGAAGTACATAAACCTTGTGAAGGCTCTTTACTCGAACACTACTAGTCGAGTGAGAGCTTATGGCGAACTGTCATGTGATTTTGTAACCTCAAGTGGTGTACTGCAAGACTGTCCACTATCTCCATTTTTGTTCAACTTCATCATAGACATACTGATGAAAATAACATTCTCGTCGACTGAATTTTCGGGAATTGATCTCCTACCAGTAGGTCCACTTATCGACTTCGAATACGCAGATGACATAGTCCTGTTTGGTGAAGACGCTGACAAAATGCAGAGTCTTCTGGAAGCACTAAGCAACAATGCCAGAATGTTTTTTGTATGCGCTTCTCTCCCTCTAAATGCAAGTTGTTGCTTCAGGACTGGTCTGCGTCAACACCTGAACTGAGGATAGGGATTAAAGTAGTCGAACGCGTTGACAACTTCACTTGTCTTGGAAGTCTGATCAGCCCTAATGGGTTGGTGTCTGACGAAATCTCAGCACGGATTCGAAAAGCTCGTTTGGCTTTTGCCAACTTACGTCACCTGTGGCGAAGGCGAGATATCCGTCTATCAATAAAGGGACGAGTATACTGCGCGGCAGTTCATTCTGTTCTACTTTACGGCAGCGAAACATGGCCATTAAGAGTAGAAGATACTCGTAAGCTACTAGTATTTGACCACAGAGGCCTTGGAAATATTGCTGGCGTCTGCTGGGATCACCGGGTAAGTAATAGTGAGGTTAGACGCAGGGTATTAGGGAATGATGGTAAATCAGTTGATGAGGTTGTGAATCTTCATCGACTGTGATGGTTGGCCCACATTTTACGTATGCGTGAATACCGATTACCACGACGTGCAATGCTAACCGGTGTTGGAGATGGTTGGAAGAAGGTTGGGGGAGGTCAAAGCAAAACGTGGCATCAGTGCTTGAAGTCACTAACTTCTAGTCTGATCCATGTTGGAAGATGCAGATTATTTGGTTGGGGTCTACGTTACTATCGTAACCAATGGTTGGAGACTCTTGGTGACACGGTTCAGAATCGATCCCAATGGCATCGGTGTATACACTCTTTGTCCTGCCTTAAACCGTGAGATTAAAGTCGCTTTATATTTCTTTTTATGAACTACTTCTTTCTTCCTGTACTATATCCTTATACTCAATCTTTCTTTTGTATATTACCACCATTGAAGTGACTACTTCTATAAATTTGGTGTTCATCTTGTTGTGCTAATGAGGTGTGGTAATTTGGACCGATTTATATACGTGCCTGGTCCTACGTTGCAGCTGTCTGACTGACAACTTAGTTACTAGTTAGTTGAGTAATAAGGCCATTTTACAAGCCTGTTTTCTTAGTAAATGCCAGTGACAAAACGAATCTTATATGCTGTCAAAAGTATTGTAATGCTACCTAGTTCTAAGACATGATTTGACAATAGGAGTACGTTGATTACTTCTGTGAATAAGTTACTGCTTAAACTTCACCACAAATGCAGAACATTTTCTTCTTACTAATATTACGAACGAACCAAGTGAGTTAACTCCATATTCTTTCACTACTTTAATATGTCCCTTTTTAAAAGTAAAAGGAATGTGTAATTTTTTACTTTTGAGTTTTGGAGTGTCAAATTCAGCGATTTAAAAAGAAATTTCACAGGTGCAGATTTCTTGAATGTAAAATTAAAATCTGCAGCTGTTAAAGGTTGCTTTTGAAATAAACTCAATGACAACTGTTCTTTTTTGTCGTCTCGGTCCGTTGCATTGTACAACAATTTTTTAATTATTCACACATAGTTGAAAATGATCGAAATTAACAATTGTAGTCGAATACCATATTTCTTTAACCTTTTAATGTATAACTATATTATGAAAAATAGACATTGGTCATTTATCATTCCTGGAACAGTGTTTAAAACTTGGCAATTATCTGTTGGTTGGATTATACTCGGATAAAGTGAGTACAGACTTGGCTACTTAAACAATTTTTCAGTCATAAAAATATTAACTGGTATCATGTATATATAACTTAGTTATACAATTGGTTCGTCTTAACCCACCACGTCAGTTAATATTACTCTACAACCTAGTATACATTAGTATTCAAAGCTATGGCCCACATGGTGTATGAATTTGGTACAATATCCTGTTTCACAAACCAGATGAGTAGAGCGTGATGTAAACATCGTATCGTCTATTGGAAAATTGTTACTGAAACCTGTAATCCACCGCTCCTAATAAGCTCAGTAATAACACCGACTGTAATATTAACTAAGAAGAGTTCTATTCTTTTAAGATAGTTGAGTTTCTTTTAAATGACATATACAGACTGTTGATGAATACTGTGGTGTAGGCTACTTATGTTGACAGATATAAATGGTATGTAGCGCCAATAGGAAGTGGAATACCGGCCAGCAGAAAATTGAATTGAAGAAAACAGAAAGGGATAGGAATAACACTCGAATTTTAAGAATGAAGAAGTATATACAAGAAGACTGAAGAAAGATGTGCAATAATATATTTAATGTATGATTTCCGTACTTTAAGAAGACACTGTAATTTCGCAATAATTAATGAATTGGGTTTCTCCACCAAGTCTTTGTTTACTACAATATCAAAAGATACCAAAACCATCTCTAGAGCTTTCTGATAATCATCTTTAATTCTTTAAACACAAAATTATCATATAATCAATTTCGCTTGTCAACCGAGTAATTTTCTTGTGAAACCAATCTTCGAATCTCAACTAAGTGTGATTAAAGCTACCAAGCAACTGACTGTTTAAATATTTTAAGGTAATGAGATTTCCATTGATATTCAAAATGCTTAACCAAAACAAATTAATAGATAATAAATAATTAATGGAGCATGAAAATGAAGGTCATACAAAAGCTTATAATGCTTCAAGTCTACTCACCATATCACCAATTTCACCATACCTTTAATTGGGTCAGCTTACTTTTTAAATGCTAACATAATTGGTATTTTCACTGGATAAACGTACCACTGATATTATTTTGATCATTTTCAATGTTTAGAAGTGACTTATACATTTGAAGTGATCGATCATAATTAGTCCATTCGTTTTTTATTATAAACTCTATTTTTAATGAAAGTAACACTAAGTAAACCAAGAACAACAAAATTTGCAGGAAAAATTAGATGTACTCTATACACTATTTTTCCTGTTAGCTCCAACACAGTCCGGCATCACAAAGTGTAGTGTCTTTTGAAACGAAGGTTTAAAATGTTTACTTCGAGAGGGACCGGAAATTCTAATAAATGAAAGAAGGTTAAAATAACTCATTGTGTCAGTGAACAAAAATTAAAAGGATTCAACGAAGAAAATGTTCTTTTAGACGAAATAATTGTGCTAACTTTAAGACGAAGAAACTATTAAGAATACTAGGCTTAAACTTTAATATGCTTTAAAGTACTAATAATTAGTTATGAGACATCCAAAATTATTTCAGAAATTGAAGTCTCCATGTTTTCTCATAAAATAATTGTCCAAACTCACGAATCATTAATTTTAGCATCATTTTACATGCTTCAAGGAGATCAAAGTCTTGCGTAACCACATTATTATTATTATTATTATTATTATTATTATTATTAATTATTAATTATTAATTATTATTATCATCATCACTACCATCACCAATTTTCGCATTTACGCCACTATCAAGATGGTACGATGCATAAAAATTAGCATGATTCATAATAAACCGAGTTCATACATGAGAGTGGTTGCTCATCTTATTTCTGACTGAATATTGACTTTCATCAATATATTGGTTCGTTATTGTATTACTTTTGCAGACGTCATCATTTGAAAGTGGTCGAATGGGCTCAATTCTCACACTTCAAGAACGACTGTTATCTGTACTGGCCTGTCGAGTAAGCTATGTCTTTTTTTCTCAAGTATATCCAATTTACTAACTGATCATCACTGTAATCTCCATTTTAACTGAATCGAAGAAAAGAGTGTTGTTACTTACGAGAATTTATGTATAGAAATTTCAAAAGTACTTCAAATCTATCTCAAATAAATCACGGGGATACTTTAACATTGGAATGACTGAAGAGAATTAATAGAAATTAAAACTGCAGTTGAAATACAGGATTTCGAAATGAATTCTGAGAATATTTTGGTTCATTTAACATTGATTGTCCTTTTTCTTAAATACTGAGATATAATTGGTTTGTATAAAAGTTTAACATGTTTTCAGTATATTAATTTGGTAGTGTAGCACCAATTCAGGAAACAAATGAGACTGCAATGAATACCAAGTCTCAATAACAAGTCCTAATGTAACCATAAGCGTTTATATCATTCAGCTTTATCTAGTGATTAACAGTTTGTTACGTTTTCTACTGCATAAGGAGCAAACTTGTTATTTTTATATAATCCAAGGATATTGATTTAGAGCGTAAAATTTCGTAAAAATAGACTCACATGTAAATTGTTTACTTAAGTCGTCACTCAAACTTCCATCGATTGTGTACCGGTATAACTTTATACCCGATTGTTAAGTTATATCACACTATAAATTATTGATTGACCCATATACTACATACCATTGACTAGATAATTAATTTATAACTTCACTGGAGTGAGCATTATATTTAGAAACAGTCCACCCCATAAACTGGTATATTAATTAGAACATCTATGAATTGACCTGCACAACTCTTCTCTCTTCCTAAGTGCATATACAGTCGTAGGTTTACGGTTGGGCTTTCGGAACTCTATTCTACCAATGTTTTTACTTTACACCATTAAACAGGACAAATAACTATCATTTAATGTCATCTCACACATTAAAGGTCGTCCTCACACAAATTGCTATGAATTAAAATGTACTGTGTTTGTGCCTCATACCACAAATAGTCAGACCACTGTTAGTTAGAACTACGTGTTTTTGTTTTTGGTGCGAACTGAAATCAGTTGCAAAAGTGTTGAGAATCAGGGCTCCATGGACGAAAATTTCGTCCTAGTTATGAACTTTTCAGTAAGCATCGATATAACCCCATTCGGACTCTAATCATAAACCTTCAATTTCATCAATGTGCTTGATATGTTCATGTTGCAGTTCCAGATTTGATCTATCTTGTTTAGGTTCGCGTATGGGCACTCCTATGGAGTTGTAGATGAGGACAATACAACTATCCAGCACTAACAAGAATTATCTTCAACTTGTACAAAATTTCCTTAAAAGCAACTTTGTGAATACCATTTATTATTATTATTATTATTATTATTATTATTATTATTATTATTATTATTATTATCAATTTTCTTGAACTAGGCGGATGGTTTTGGAAATTCGTTTTACAGTGTTACCTCAAAATGAAAATTTTTATAACTGCTCATGTCTATCAGATCTATCACCATAAGAGGTGATGAACTTGATGGATTAACATAACTACTCTTCTAATATAAAAAGAATAAAGTTAAGAAAAAATTGATTTAAACTTCTAATAAAATAATCCTTTTTTAATCGATTTACAAAGTATTCTGTCATGATTACATCATTAATTATTACTTTTCCGGATTAAAATCAATTAAATATTATTTTATGGCTGGATTATTGAAAGAAATTAAAAATTGTGAATGTGACTTTTGTTTTATAAAGAAAACGTTCAGCAATCAAGTAACAATGAAGTAGAAATTTTTAAAAACTCATTTTCAATGTACAATTTTACACACTTGATTTTGAGCCATTCTTTTCATATAGGGGTTAGTGATATTACGTTCATCCTCATACTCCCAAAACCGAATCAAAATGGAGTTCGAACAATTGAGAATCAGTAATTAAAACCACTATCCCATCTCTGTTAATAAGCCTCAAATCTAAGTTTCCATAATTTTATAACAGTGAAGGCAATACAATATGGCGTCACGTGCAGTAGTCTAAATAATTTTATCATGATACCAATTGTTGTTCGTTCATTAGTTTCTTTTTGGTGAAATTTTTTAAATTAATGCACTTTGGTTAGTTTAGTTATCAGTAATACTCTCTAATTAATAACTATGTGAATGTTGTTTTATTCTCATTATGAACAGTACGTGAGCAATGTAATTATTGATGCACCGTATGTAATACCTCCCAATCTTTTGGATCATTTCAATGTAAGTTGTTATGGATGCAGAATAATGTGCCAATCATTATCATGTTAAGTCTAATGATGTCCTTGGACGTTAAATGGACATTTCCTATTGGCCATTATTTATTTCATTCGTTAAATATTGTACAAATGTTGTTTTCTATTTTTATGGTACGATGTGGTCTGTTTGGTTGGTATATAAATGGAGTATGTCTGAAATACAATGATTCATATCTCAGAGGCTAAGACTTGCGTTCTGGACTCAACTGGCTGGGCTAGACAGGGAACACTAGGTCGTTCGTACGTGTTTTACGTGTCCCTGGTCCGGTCGATAATACACTGCTCTCTAATCTTTCAGTCAAGGACGCAACAATTGGCACAGGGTAGAAATCGACTCAAGTTAAAGTCACAAAATAAGTCGTTTCCCATTACTGTTGGTTACGGTTTTATTTTGGTCTTGATATCAAATGATTAAAGGTAATCATCAAGAGGTAATGTATCACCTAATTTACATGCTAGTTCCCACTCATCAACAACACATATGAACAATTTTGATGAGACTGATGTTCCCCTGGAATCTAAATTTGTGTCACCTAGTGCCACAGTCAGAGATATCAAAACCGACCTTTAAGCCTTCAATAATATTTTAGAAATGGGTCTGGAGGAAGCACATGGTGGTGGGGTGGATCCATTTGTTACTTTGGTGAGGACTCTTCAACCTTGAATGTGCGGACGGGATTGTCCTAATATACGATATGACACAAGCTATCTGAGTGCCACTTAATTAGTTGTCCGTAATTATAGGTTTTACTCTGCACCAGCTAGGTGTAAAATATTTCTGCAAGACTGGTCGAAGGTCCTTATACCCACTTTTTGTGGTTGTCCGTTATTGTAATAGAAAAGTTCGTATATCCAGGTAGTTGTGTGAGTACTGGCGTTGGCGTGTTAGATCAAGTCAACCTGCGTTTAGTGAAGGCCATCTTTGGAGCCATCATAATGCTAGTCCGTCTATAAAAGGTTGGGTTAACAATGCATCCGTGAAAACAATTCTGCCCTACTATCATGAAACCTCCCCTTCCCCAAGCTAGGAAGCCTCGGCAACTCTGCCCGACCATCTTCGTCTCTTGAGGATTTTTGAAATCCAGTGGCAACATCATGTTAGCATTACTGAGGTTCAGCAATATATTTTCGGGAGCAGTGACGACAACTTATTCAGTGTCACCCCTTGTAAAAACCAGTTTCTGTTACTTGAAAATGTTTAATTTTGTCATGTCACAATCTTTCACAGCGTGCATCATTTGGGACTAAGCTGGAAAAGCGGACAGGTAATTAATTTATAACATGGCTCCTTGGTGTGGAAAAATGTTGTATAGGACCATCTTCTGTCCCTTCATCATAATTCCCTGAGGTAGATCACATAGCTTGTGCAACTCAGGGTTGAAATCATAGGTAACAATACTAAGGTTTGACATGATAGTTTTGAATAAATTGAGCAGACTAGAATGCTGATAATAGAATAATTATTTATTTTTGATATCCCAATGATCAGAGATTTTAATTTCTGATGTTTCGCAACGTAGCTGAGGTTGCTTCTTCAGACAATGAATAAACAACCGAATTAACATAAGTCTAAATAGTAAAAAAGAACAAGATAGAATATTTGGTTCAATCAAAATCAAAATAGTTTTGATTATGTCAGTGACCTAATAGTCTTACAGGATAGGAAGATCTACAAATTAAACCGGCAATAACAGTAGATACTAGATTTAGTGACCACCAAATTGATATAAAATATATCGAAATAATCCAGAAACACCTTTCCGAATATAAAGAGGAACGAGTAGCCGAAGTGTTTCATATGATGCTAAACCCCTCTCTCAACAGGAAGGTCTGACTATTCATTCAACTTCACCCATTTATCCAAACTACATTCAATTCTCTTTATTTTATTTTCTAGGTAAATTATGTTGCAATAGGTTGGGATAAAAACCTTACACCAACATTAGAAGGCTTAGATCCGATGATGGTAAGAGTTTTATGTGAACTGGAATGTCAATGTTTTACAATTGATGTTTCTGATGTACACTTGTTGTAGTATTTAATGCTGTTTATTGCATTCATCTGAGGTCGTTTTGCAGTTGATACCAACTTGAACTTATCTGCTAGTTTGCAAACCATTTTGTTGATTTGATCACATAAACAAGAGTTACAATGATTCAGTAGGTATTGTCTAAGAAAATTAAGATTCATTCATCTGTGTAACGATATAAAGTTTTGCAATCCATTCACTTATGTATTTCCTACTTTTATTGATCAAAAACACGTTTGTTTAATAATAATAATAATTATTATTATTATTATTATTATCACTATTATTAAAAAACATAAACATTAGTACAAGGGGGCACCAAGTAGATATGCGTCACAAATCATTCGATTTGTGTGAGGGCTGGGATACTAACCGGGTGCTCGAACCGAAGCAAGTTGTTTTTTTAAGGGGCCACACTCGGAGCCTTTGACCTAAAGGTCTGACCTACAAGGCAGTAGAGCAACGTCAGGTGGTGCGGTCCCATGGTAGCCGGTGGCCAATGATTGGTTCATACGTCATTTGTTCCTTCAGGATACTGGAGCCCATGTACACCATTGGTTTTGGATCAGGGTTTTTCAGTTACCCTAGGCGGACTCTCCGTGTCCACCAACTCGGTTAAGGTGCCGCACATTTGCTTTTCGTCTTTTGAATTTCGTAAACAACGCCTCCGCCAGTAGAAGGTAGTGAGTAGGACTTCCCTGGCAGTGATTGTATGCACGTGGCACGTTGTTTAACTGATAAAAATCATATCCCCCTTGAAGCTCGATTGACCAACCATTCTCCTATTCATAGTTACTTCGTCCACACAATCTGTAAATATCAAATTCAACTTGTTCAAAACACACGTATTTTGTTGAAAATGAAGTCAAAACTACTCAACAATGAAAAAAAATTTTTTTCTCCACGTTTGCTATTTCCTGATGATATGAAATCAAATTAATAGTTACTTAACAAACATCTATATAAACTAAAGATGGATAGTGGCTAGCAGTGGAATCCAGGTACTGCTAACCACTATCCAAGCTTGTGAATTAAGGCAATATCGAGGCATACGCACAGTATGCACATATACCAATAACAGACTGATCAATTACAGTCTTAACCTCAATGGGAAGATACAAGCAAAAATACCAAGTGAATTTATATAAACTATGGATACATGATGGGCTAGATTAATTGAGATTTTAGTAAAATTAGTAAAATAATTATTGGTACGTAAAAGTTTTTATTACATAACATACTAGTTATTCTTATAAATCTTTCGTCGTTTTACATGATGATATTCTGGCAACCTGTTTAAATATACTACTGTACTTGAGACATATATATATATATATTCATCATACATACATTCTAACAAAGTATATATATATTCCATATTACTAAGTTCAATATGGTCCTGTGCCAATATACAATTCAAAACGATTTGTTTATTTGAGTGTTAATACAGTGGATTATGACAAAGTTAATTTAAATAATTTTGTTAGTATGACTATCGGTTTTATGTTGTTTTTAATATGCCGTAAAATTAATTTATTTTGTCCAATGTTCAATCTTCATTTAATGTCGATTTATTATTATATTCTTGTTTAAATTATTATTTAACTGTGTATATACGGCACATTTAACTCTTCCTTGATTTACTTCACTATTCATGTTAAAAGAAATTAGAAATACTCAATTACTTGTTTCTTGAGTTGTTGCTTAGACTACTTTCTGGAATGTCTGTTCATAAAGTCTCTTTTCTCTCATCTAAAATATAGCATTGAATGAAGACAGAATGATTAGTAATAGTTATCATGAATGCACAATAAAGTCATATTTTTATACCATAATATTGACTGAATTGAAATTCCGCATTATACATTAATATTTGTGCATAGATGTTTTCACTTATTATTGTCATGAAAGCCTTTTGTTTGTTATGTGCAAGGCAATATATTTTAGTAAATCATAATACTTACTTACTTACGCCTGTTACTCCTCGTGAAGGAACGTAGGCCGCTCACCAGCATTCGCCATCCAACCCTGTCCTGGGCAATCGTTTCCAGCTCCTTCCAGTTGTCATTCACCCTTTCCATATCTGCTTTTATTTCCCGACGTAATGTGTTCTTTGGCCTTCCTCTTTTCCGCCTTCCTTCAGGATTCCAAGTTAGGGCTTGCCTCGTGATGCAGTTTGATGATTTGCGTAGTGTATGTCCTATCCATTTCCGTCGTCTTTTCCTAATTTCCGCTTCAGCTGGAAGTTGGTTTGTTCTCTCCTAGAGAAGGCTGTTGCTGATGGTATCCGGCCAATCGATGTTGAGTATCTTGCGTAGACAGCTATTTATAAATACTTGCACCTTCTTGATGATGGTTGTAGTAGTTCTCCAAGTTTCAGCTCCGTACAGTAGAACTGCCTTGACATTCGTATTGAAAATTCTCACTTTGATATTGGTTGAAAGTTGATTTGAGTTCCATATGTTCTTCAACTGTAGGAATGCTGTCCTTGTTTTGCAAATCCTCGCCTTTACGTCTGTATCTGAACCTCCTTGTTCATCGATTATGCTTCCCAGGTATGTGAAGGATTCTACATCTTCCAGAGTTTCGCCATCAAGAGTGATTAGATTGCTGTTTTCCGTGTTGTGTTTGAGGACCTTGGTTTTCCCCTTGTGTATGCTGAGGCCTACTGATGCAGAGACTGCTGCTACACTGGCTGTCTTTATCTGCATTTGTTCATGTGTATGCGATAGGAGGGCTAGGTCATCTGCGAAGTCCAAATCGTCTAATTGATTCTGAGCTGTCCACTGTATTCCGCGTTTTCCCTCAGATGTCGAGGTCTTCATAATCCAGTCGACCATCAGAAGAAAGAGGAAGGGAGAGAGTAAATAGCTTTGTCTGACTCCGGTCCTTACTTGGAATGCATCTGTCAGCTGTCGTCCATGCACGACCTTGCACTGTAGTCCATCATATGAGTTCCGGATAATGTTGACAATCTTCTCGGGAACTCCATAGTGTCTAAGAAGTTTCCATAACGGCCTCCTGTCTACACTATCCAATGCCTTTTCATAATCGATGAAGTTGATGTACAGTGACGAGTTCCATTCAATTGATTGTTCGACGATGATCCGTAGTGTCGCAATTTGGTCCATGCACGACCGATCCTTACGGAATCCAGCTTGTTGATCTCGAAGTTGGGCGTCTACTGCATCCTCCATCCGGTTGAGCAACACTCTGTTGAAGACCTTCCCTGGTATTGACAGTAGTGTGATGCCTCTGTAGTCTTCACATTTTGCTCAGATCTCCTTTCTTTGGAATCTTGACGAGGTGTCCTTCTTTCCAGTCCATCGGCACTTGTTCCTCCCAAATCTTTTTGAATAGAAGGTGAAGCATGTTTACAGTTACTTCGATGTCTGACATCAGTGCTTCAGCTGGTATGTTGTCGAGTCCTGCTGCTTTCACGCTCTTGATTTGTCTGATGACCATTCTGATTTCTTCCGTCGTTGATGGATTAACATCTATGTGCGCTGCTTCGATGTCTGGTGAATTCATTGGAGCCGGCCTATTCAGGAGTTCATCGAAGCATTCTACTCATCTGTTCCGCTGTTGTTGAATTTCAGTGATTGGCCTGCCTTCTTTGTCATTGACCGGTCTCTCTGGTTTACTGTATTTCTCTGCTAGTTTCTTCGTTGTATCATAGAACTTTTTCATATTTCCTTCCCTTGCAGTCTTTTCACGTATTTCTTCTTGTCGGCTCTAATGCTCTTCTTCACTAGTTTGTGTGCTTCTATGTACTCAGCTTGTGCTTGGACTTTCTCTGCTCGTGTTCGGCTGTTGTTAGTTGCTGTCTTCTTCTTCTTCCTTTCTTTGATCTTGTCCAGTGTTTCTATAGAGATCTATACCTTATGATGGTGCTTCTTTAGACCCAAAACCTCTTGACACGTTGAAGTTAATGCTTCTTTGATACCTTTCCAGTTGTCATTCATAGTAGTTTCTTCTTCCTTCAGTAGATCCTGTAAGGCTTGGAACCTGTTGTTGAGAGCTATCTTGAATTCGTTGATTTTGTTAGTATCTCGAAGGAAGGCTGTATTGAGCCTTTGTAGTGTTGTTTGTCCAGTTTTTCTTTAGCTTCAGCTTTAAATTGGCCACAACTAGGTGGTGATCTGAAGTTATATCAGCTCCTCTCCTGGTTCTCACATCTTCCATTGTCCTTCGGAATTTTTTATTGATGCAGATATGATCTATCTGGTTCTCTAAGGTGTGGTCCGGTGAGATCCATTTAGCTTTATGTATACGTTTGTGTGGAAATATTGTGCCTCCTATGACCAATTTGTTGAATGCACACAGTTTTGCAAATCCTTCCCCATTTTCGTTTCTCTCACTCAGTCCATGTCGTCCCATGATATCTTCATATCCGGTTTTGTCTATTCCAACTTTGGCATTTAGATCTCCCATCAGAATGGTGAGGTCCTTTCTTGGGCACTTCTCTATGATTGACTGCAGCCGCTCGTAGAATTGATCTTTAATGTCGTCGTTGCTATCATTGGTGGGTGCATAACATTTTATAACATTCGTTGTGATTTCCTCCTTCTCTGTTTTGAATGATGCTTTGATGATTCTGGATCCGTGAGATTCCCATCCTACAAGTGCATTTCGTGCTACTTTGGACAGCATTAGAGCAACTCCCTGAGTGTGTGGAGCATTTTCCTCTTCGTGACCGGAGTATAGCATCAACTCTCCCGTAGCTAGCCTTATCTGTCCAGCTTGGGTCGAATGGGTTTCGCTGATTCCCAGTGCTGCCAAGTTGTATCTCCTCATTTCCGTTGCTATTTGATTGGTCTTCCCGGTCTCCCACATTGTTCGGACGTTCCATGTACCTATAAAAATTGTTACTCTGGTTGTTAGAAGGGGCATCGGCCTCGTGGATTTCGAAGGAACTCGGCTTTCACCATGAAGTGTCATAATTCTTCTAACTCTCAGGGCAGAGTTTAAATCGTTTGAATTATTTTTTCTGGTAAGCGTACTTTTAGCGAGTTAGTTTTCTACGGGTTGGGGACGCTAACCCCATGCTCAACACTCCTCCTTTACCCAGGCTTGGGACCGACAGTAACTCTGGAAGAGCTACAGACGGATTTAAATCATAATACAGACCAATATTAATCTAAAAAGTGTTACCCATTTTCACTTTTCGCAACCACATTACAAATAATGAGTTTTTTTCTCCATATTTTACAGTAAATTTATCATTTCATGAATGCATTTATTGCTGTTTTTAATTTTTCTTTTCCTGAAGGTTTGTAAAGAACGAGGTATTCTTCGTAGAATCGATAGTGGATGCAATGTTACAACTTCACTTGTCATATCCCGTATTATGAAAAATAGGCAAGTGATATTATTTCATAAGTGTATAGTTTTGACTAAGTTATTTGATGGTGAGTTTCATCCGAAATCTTAATAACCTGGAAAGATCTTTAGAACCAGAAAGTAAAGCATTTGAGCGTGACAATCTCCCTTCACTTATCTTAAAAGTCTTACCAGTCTTGATAGGCTGATGGTCGGAGAAATCTCGTCACGGATTCAGAAGTGTACTGGCTTTCGCCAAATTGCGTCATTTGTGGCGTACGCAAGATATTCGTCTGACCACCAAAGAACGACTTTACTGAGTAACATTTCACTCTATTCTACTTTATAGGTGTGAGACATGGCCATTTGGATATTCGTAGGTTTCTAGTATTTGATCATAGATGCCATCGAAGCGTCACTCGTGTATTTTGGGACCATCAGGTGAGCAATAACAAGGTTAGGAATAGGATACTAGGTGAATCTGTCTTTTTAAGATAGTAAATATTCATCAAATGAGGTGGTTGGGATTTCCGTTACGTTCGTCCAACCACCGTCTACCTCGACGGGCGATGTTTTGTGGTGAGGGACTAAGCTAGAGGAAAACTGGAAGAAGCGAAATCAAGATATAGCAACAGTCTATGAAACCATTGATAACTGATCTGACCTATGTTAACTGATGTAGATTGCCTGGTTCGTGTCCACATGATTATCGTAATCTATGTTTTTCAAGATATTGGCTGACATGGCTCAAAATCGTTCGCAATGGCATAGGTACATCCGCTCTTTGCCTTCCGTTTAGATGCTAGTTTTCTGAATCCCTCAAAATCTTTTTTTCACTAATTCATATTTCCTTCAATCGTATATTAGATGTCTAGTCTTTTCCATTGCCGCTAGTACTGTTACTACCTCTGCTGCTCTGGGATTTACCCTAGCAATTTCACCTCATTGCGCTAATAGTAGAATATGGCAACGTGAATTGATGTACACATATGCTGGGTTTTATGCTGAGTTTGACTGACCGACTGACCAGAGAGCGCTGTTGACAGCTGTTTCGTTTTAGTTAGTGGCTCTTAAGTAGCACTGTTCACCCATGATCCCAAACTGAACCGACCCGAGAACCATCTTCCCTTTTACATCTCTTACGTATCTTGATGCTCTCCAATGTCATTTTGGAGTTACTGCCTGATTCTAGATTGGTTTAACTACGCAGTTTTCTACTAGAACGTCGGGAAGTCCGTCTCAAAGATAATCACGATAATTAGTAGGACTTTTTTTTTTAAGATTTCACATTGTTCAGACGTAACTTCATGACAACGTGAGTCTTTCGTATTTATCATCGTATGTTAGCATCTGTTTATAGTTATTATCAGTCGGTATTGTTAATTTCCTATATTGTTACTAAAAAATAGAGCAACATAAAAGTTCCTGAATTAGATTCGGTGAACTCATTAGAATGTTACTTTAAAGCAAACGATAGAATGCAGATACACCATGTTATATTTTCGTCGATAGCAAATTAATTAATACAATATAAAAGGTTCATTACAGTAGAGCATTAAAAATGTGTCACGCTTGCATAAATTCTGTGTTATTGCCTGGGTACTCAAAACAAAGTAAATAGTATCAGACCATTCTTTGACCTTAAGGTTTGATTTACAAAGAAATGAGGTAACGTCACATGACATTTTAAGGAAGCATGTAACTGATGTAGGTTCGTACACCATTGGTTTCGTCCTTATCCTGATGATGATATTTACCACTTGTTTTAAATAGTTTCCTAGCTTATTTACAACGAATCTACTAACTTCAATCTAAGTGACATATGTCTGGTATCAGTTACTTTTTCAGGGCCACTCTTACTGCATGAAAATAGTTATTGTACGTCTTCTCAGGAAGAGGTTATAAGCATTACGGTCATTTGAGATCATTCCCGGAGGTAGGGTGGATTCTTCAAAACCTCTGTATCTCGGAAACCAAGATCGAAGGTCTTTTTCTTTAGTGAGCTAATCAGGTCGCGAAGTTAGCCAGCCGTTGCTCAAAGCATTTTGTCAACTGAGTAATCAGAAATGTGTAATAATAAAGAGGTAAAACAAAAAATACACGTTGTCTAATAAAGCTATTCTTTCAAATGAACGTAGAATCATAAAATTCCTTAGCGTTATTGAGATAATTGTGTAATATAACTGTCCCTTAATCACTCCAAAGTTTGTACTTCACAAACATACACCTCTGATATTGTTAAGTAAATGTTAGTTGTAATTTTTCTTATTCTTTAGTTCGAGACACTGTTTAATAATAGTAGTTTAACTGTTTAAGGCATTTGACTCAACTTTTGATTTTTATTTTAACTAGTTTTGCTTGAGTTATTATCAGACACAGAAGTACATCAATCTATAATTTATTATTTTGATTGAGATTATGAGTCGATCAACGTTAGAACACCACTGAAAACCTAGAAGCAATGGATGGCCATTTTGTTCTAGTATGGGACTCCTCAGCAGTGCACATTCACCGTCCCGCACGCGGACCTCGAACCTAGGACCTTCGGTTTCACATACGGGGTCGTCGATGTGCACTGCTGAGGAGTCCCATACTAGAACGAAATGGCCGTCCAATGCTTCTATGTTTTCAATGGTGGTTTAAAATTGATCGATTCATGATCCATGATCTCAATCAAAACTCAACAATCTCCACAACCCAATACTGATAATTTATTATTTGTTCAGTCTCACTTGAAGTTGAATGAAACATATTTAGGTTTCATAGCATCATTTTCTTCAAAATCGAAGAAAGAATTTGTTCTAATGTTGTAATGTGATTAGTTTTTTCTTCTTGAGATTAACTTTATTATACTTTCTTTTTTTGATACATCATTCTATACATACACACACAAATTTTCACATACTCATACTCGTATACTGTGCACATGGCAACTAATCAACTTTAGACTTCTTTACGAAGAACGAAATCAGAAAAAAGTGAATAAAGAAGTCCAGTTGGCGAGTAAATTTTTGACAAGTAATTAATTAGATTGTTTTTTTATTGTCAAACTAACAACACAACAATTAATTACTGACTTCTCGTGTTTGTTTTTTTGTCAACACTACTTATTCGTTTTTTTTCGTCACCTTTCTTGTCTTCATTTACTTTAAATTATTTTTATTTGATAAAAAAAGAAAAGAATGTGTCTTCTCTCTCTGTCTCTCATCCTGTCATTTCACTTTTATGTGAGAACAATAAAACAGTGAATATGAATATAATGGAAATCCTATTGATTTTAAATTAATCTGTCTATTGATCTATGTATTGGTACAACATTCCCACATCGTTTTTTATTAATAATTAAAATTTCAATAGATGTGGAAAGTCAATTTACATTGGCTAAATTAATCTTATTAAATTGCTGATATTATTAATGATTATACTAGAAATAAACGAAAGGAAATATCAACAGTTGAATATTCTTCATACACTCAGTTCACATTGCAAAATATTGGATTTAATTGGTGCGTTATAATAATTTGCGAAAATATATCACATTGATATATTTAAACACCGGTAACATCTTGACCGTAGCTGCTACCTTGACGTAATAGTCGGGTTTGCCTATTGTGATGACTCAATCGGGCTGCAACATATATTCGTTTAGATCTCGCCACACCAGCCAGGTCGTTTGGAGAACTATAAGACTTAAAGCAGTATCTTAAGACCCGAAGTCGTACTGCTGAGTGTAGAGAGGTAGGAAAATAGGCGTTTCCCTCGGACGACCGGCATTTGAAGTGATGCTGTCTTTTCATAACGGAAGGAAGGCATTTGAAAAGGTTGATCCTAGAAATATCACACCCCACAGATTTCTGTCTACGGAGGCAAGGCTTTTTGAAGTGCGAAGTTTATACATCGAAAACTTCCCATAAGAAAGGCTGTGCGCGACTCGCCTCAAGCAGTTGTCCATTGGTCTCTGCAGTCATGCTCCCAGGTCTCCAAGACCACCACCAATTTAGCTTGTTTTTCAGTTCCCACAAGAAGAGATATCCTTTTATATTACTATTGTTTTATTGATATAAATGGCTTTATTCAATATTATATTTTAGTACGGTATAAAATTCTCTGTGTGCAACTGGGAAGTGACAGTCGTCCTTATACTTTTATCAGCACCCGAGATTATCTTCTTGGCGATCAAATCCCTTTATCAGCGCTTCATAATTCTCGTATCCCTGCGATTAACCTTTCTGGTATATATTTATCACCATGCGCTGCTAATGCTAATGATTTGACTTCACGAAAAATTATTCCTGGTCTACTGAGACCACCATCTAAACTACATGTTGGGGCTCTTAATGTTCAAACCTTGTGTCAGACAGAACAACAGGCTCCTTTGCTAGGACTCTAGAATCTCACGCCATCAATGTATGCTGCGTCTCCGAAATGCGCACACAGGAATATGAGTACGGTCATTTACTTGACCTCACCTTGTCAATAAAGAACCGGGACGATTTACCGTTCGAGTATCTAAAGACCTCACTACAACGTCCTGTAGCCTCGGTGGTATAGGTACAGCATTAATTTTTAAAGCAGAACAGGTTCTGTTAGACTTGATTCCAATATATAGTTGCTTGTGCACTGTCCGACTAAACAGGACAATCAGAATTCAAAAAGGCAGGGGCACACTGCGTTATCTCTGCCTATGCTCTCACTGATTACAATTTGAATGATGTTAAACATGGATTTTATGGGGAACTGTTCAACCTTCTTCAAAAAGCTAAACGGTCTGACTCAGTAATATTGGTAGGTGATTTTACTTTTCAAGTATGTAGACTAAACCAAATCGAAAGGCATTCAAACAAACATTGTGATGTTGCTGCTCAGCGAGCAGAATGGCGGCCATCTGAAAAAATTGATATGGCTATATATATATATATATCTTTAATGCTCAAGTAGGTAAACTAAGCGATAGGGAAAGACACCTAGGTGGATCTTATGGTGTCGTGGCTCAAAGAACAGATAATGGCGACCGTCTGTTGCAACTATGCTCAGATAACCGCCTGTTCCTTGCAAATACTAAATTTAAGCATAAGGAAAAACATCTTTTAACATGGCGACCCCCTAATTCGTCCCAACGTTGGACCCAAATGGATCACATCGCTATCAGCCACCGATGGAGGGGGTCGATAGAAGACTGTCGCTCATTCTGGAGCACATGCTTAGATTCAGATCATGCTCTAGTAGGAGCGCGTATTTGCCTGCGTCTTATTGGACGTGATATCTGCTAGTACGGCAAACCACAAGGTTAGGGAGAAACACTGAATCTCAGCAGCATCTATCTCACTGATAGATGCTCGGAAACTCATTCCACCTGGCTCTGAACATAATGAAGAGCGGAGTCAGCTTAAGCGCAAGCTGACAAGAAGCCTACGCAATGATCGCGAACAGTGGTGGGTAGCGAAAGCAAGAGAGATGGAAAAGGCAGTGGCAATAGGTAATAGCAGACAATTGTTCAGACTTGTTAAGGAAACCGGTATTAGGAACCCGACCGTTAGCGAAACAATCTCAGAGAAAGATGGACATATTATACATTCTCAATCCAGGAGATTGGATCGATGGGCAGAACACTTTAGGGATCAGTTCAACTGGCCTTCAGCCACACTTCGGTTTCCCGCGATCTCCAGTCAACCTGAATGGCAAGTTAGTGTAGGTCCTCCGTCCCTTTACGAAGTTGAAAAAGCCATAGGAAATCTGAAACGAGGGAGAGCAGCAGGCCCTGACAGGTTTACTCCTGAGATTTTTAAGGATGGTGGTCCAGTATTAGCAATGAGATTAACTGAGGTCTCAGGTAGAATTTGGGAACTGGACGTAATCCCATCTGACTGGTCTCAATCACTGATTGTGCCAGTCTATAAGAAAGGACAAAAGTCCTCTTGTGACAATCACAGAGGAATCAGTTTGACTAATATAGTCTAAAATATTAGCCTCAATAATACTTTGACGCCTAATCAAAGCTCGTGAAGAGCAGACTAGAGAAAACCAGGCCGGTTTTCGACCTGGACATGGTTGTATAGATCAGATATTCACACTACGTCAGGTTCTAGAACACAGACACACATTCAGACGCCCCACAATGGTAGTATTTCTCGACCTTAAGGCGGCATTCGACTCTGTTGATCGTGAGGTTCTATGGCAGTGTTTTTCACTGAAAGGAGTACCAAAGAAGTACATTAACCTTATAAAGGCTCTCTACTCGAACACAACTGGTAGAGTGAGAGCTTATGGCGAACTGTCATCAGAATTGATTACCTCAAGTGGTGTTCGTCAGGGCTGTCCACTCTCCCCATTCTTGTTCAACCTCGTCGTCGACGTACTTTTAGAGATAACACTCTCCTCATCTAAATTTCCAGGGGTTGAACTTCTACCGGGAGGTTCACTTGTTGACTTAGAATATGCTGATGACATAGTTTTATTTGCTGAAGACGTTGACAAAATGCAGAGTCTTCTGACCACTTTAAGCAACAATGCAAGCATGTTTGGGATGCGATTCTCTCCCTCGAAATGCAAAATGTTGCTTCAGGATTGGGTTACATCGACACCCGAACTAGTGATAGGGAGTGAAGTAGTTGAGTGTGTCGACCGCTTCACTTATTTTGGAAGTCTCATCAGCCCTTGTGGTTTAGTGTGTGACGAAATCTCAGCACGGATACAGAAGGCTCGACTAGCTTTTGCCAACTTGCGTCATTTATGGCGTAGGCGAGATATCCGTCTATCAACCAAAGGACGTGTTTACTGCACAGCAGTTCGTCCCGTCCTACTTTATGGCAGTGAAACATGGCCGGTAAGAGTAGAGGATATTCATAGGTTACTAGTATTCGATCATAGGTGTCTTCGAAACATTGCTCGTATATCATGGAACCATCGAGTAAGTAATGCAGTTGTTAGAAAACGGGTACCAGGTAAGGATGGCAAATCAATTGATGAAGTAGTGAAACTTCACCAGTTGAGATGGCTGGGACACGTGTTACATATGCCCAACGACCGACTGCCTCGACGTGCACAAGTCCATGAAGTCACTGACAAGTGGTCTGAGTCATGTCGGTAGGTGTAGACTACCTGGTTGGGGACCGCGAGATGATAGCAACCGATGGTTAGAGACCCTGAATGACATGGCTCAAAATCGTTTGCAATGGCGCAGGTGCATCCACTCTCTGTGTTCTCCCAAATTCTAATCTTCTGAGTTCTTCATGTCCCTTTTTTCCTCTTTCCAAATTTATTTCACTGGATTATACTCTTCAAATAACATCTCCAAACCCTAATCTTCCCGATTACTGCTTATACTCTTATTACCTCTACCACTACGGGATTTGAATCGACAACTGCATCTCTGTGCTAATGTGGTGTAGCAACTCGAACTGATGTACGTGCGTACGAAGTTCTACGTTGTTACTGACTGACAGATATATATATATATATATATATATATCAGGAACAATGAGAGGAGCTAGTCAACTGTGAAAATGATATCCACTCCGAGGTAACTGTATGATAATCAAGAAGCTTTGATAAATTCTAGTAACTTAAAGGAAAAGTTTAGGAAAAACTAGTGGATTTTAGCTGCGTCTACAGAATTGATAGATGCTCAGTAAGCAGTCAACGTAATGATCGTGAGCAGTGGTGGGCAGCGAAAGCTGAATAGATGGAAAAGGTAGCAGCGATAGATAACATTAAATAAATGTTCAGTTTTATTAAGGAAACGGGTAGTGAAACTACTTTGGAAAAAGGCGGTACTATTTATCACTGTCAATGCAGGAGATCGGACCGATGGGCAGAACACTTAAGGAAACAGTTCAGCCAGCCTTTAGCTACGTTTCAGTTACACACTATCTCCAAGCTAAATGACATAAGTCCTCAAACTATCAATGAGGTCAAAAAGGCTATACGCAATATAAAGCGATGGAGAGTAACAGGGCGTGATGGACTAACTCCTGTGATTTTTAAAGATGGTTGTCCAGTTTTGGCAGTTAGATTGACTGAAATCTTA